CTTGCATTACACCCACAAAGCCAAGGTCTGGTCCTTTTTGGAAGGAGTCATTCCAGAGCCAAAGTTCTTAATCTGGAAACAATTTTGGGCTAGAGAATAGCCAGACACTCAAGCAAGAAATTCATCACTGGGTAGAACTCTCCTTTTACTTGCTGACTTACTGAGTGATATTTATGGAAATAAACTTAGAAGAATATACTGTATGTTAAGTTAGCAGAATGGATGCTGCCTGCAGGCTATTGCAGTCATTCTTGCTGACATTATCCTGTTTCTATCAGATTGGCTATGTAGCTCCCAGTATTTTGTGGTAGGGTTTGCCTTACAAGAGAAGTTCTTGCTGAAAGGAAGCTGGAAAACAGTATGCCACGATGTCAGCATAGGGACATCACCTCAAGCAGTGTCTGCTGCTCTGTTGGGGGTTTTTTGTGTTTATGTCAGTGCATGTAATAAAAAATATTGTACTTACTGGTCTCAGGCAGCTGCAGCAGGGACTTAGAGGTTCCCTCTAATGTTCAATGAGTATGATTCCTCCCCCCACAAATGAGTGCACATCATTTGAGCATGTCTGCATAGCCTGGTTTTCAGGCTGCAGCTAAGAGGTGCGAGTGCAGCATACTGAGGCCTACCAGGCTAGCTTTAATCTAATTAGCTTGGATAACAATGTTAGTGAAGATGTGATAGAATGAGCTTCAGTAAATAAATGTATGCTGATGTGAAAGCCTGCTAGGACTCATCAGGACATCCCTGGATAGCCAGCAGCAGCAATGTACAAATTTTGAAAACTCTTCCCAAGGGCTATTGAAGCAACAGCTTGGCAATTGCTTCAAAGCCCCACATCATCCCACAGATAGTTTACAGTTTTCCCTGTAAAACAATTTTAAAATATTATCTAAATTAACTGCTTGTCAAGATCAAATTTTAGCTGAAAAAAAGTTTTAACTTCCTCTCTGTGGTTTCCTAGTCTTTAAAGATTTGCATACAGGGCTATCTTGACTACAGCCAAACCCTCTGTGCTAGCTGGCTCTGTCGTAACAGTCACATCTGTCAGAACAGGGTTCTTCTGTCATCTTACTGCTGCATACAGAGTTTCATTACCGGTAGCCTGAGTATCACTGTTTGCGATCTTGAATGGTAGAAGAGTAACACAAGTAGATGAAATTGGCTCTGGGTCCTGAGTTACTGTATGTTTTTTTGTGAAGAGGAGACAGCCCACCGACTTAATGAGAAAAATTAGAAAATTAACTCGGAAGTAGAAAAGGTAATTGGAAGACAAAAGCTGGTTACTGAACCAAAGGATATAGACCTTTAAAGTTTTAAAACCAAAAGGAAGTCATGAGAGGAAGTAGTAAATATGAGTTAGGCAAACAGGGTAAGAAAAAGATTGATCATTATTTTCAAAATAAGAAAATATACTTGGGGGGCGGGGGGGGCGAAGGTGGTTGAAAAGCATGCACTTGCTCAGTCTACGAGGTTCATCCTTCCAACACTGCTTTATTGTATTGTTCTGTGAATGAGCATTGCTGGACAGCAGCATCACCCCTTCCTTTTGTTCTTGTACGGCTGAAAGACACCAGAAGTTGGCTGCAGCAGCAGAAGCAGCAGGACCCAGCATCCCTTCAGTTACAGCCCTTACACTCGGACCAATCTGACTAGTCTGGAAAATCTCCTCTGCGTACATGCCCAGGCAGCACTGTATGAAATACCAGTGGATGTTAGTACTAGGGCTGCACAGGGAACAGCGTGCATGGGCTCCTCCTTCACAAGTCAGGCTTTGCATAAGTAACAGGTAGATTATATTCTTCTTGCTCCTGCTTGAACTCAGAGAGAGGCAATTGTGTTTCTTGGGCTTGGAGACATGGGTGCCAAGATTTGCCCAGTCCATTTATAGTAATAGAGAGATGCCTTGTGTTTAAACATAGGATGGGAATTAAGAAGTCTCATTCTGAAACAGACTTTCTGTGTGGCTTTGAACACTTAATCTCTCCTTGCTTGTTTTCTCATCTGTACAATAGGGATAATAATGTTTATCGACCACACAGGGGGCTGTAAGGCTAAATTAATTAATGTTATAAAGCAACTTGTTTCCCTTAGGTAAAAGTTTTTCTACAAGTATGAAGCATAACTATTTATTATCTGCATTTTCTTCACTTTTTATTCATGCCCTATCAATTCTACTTCAGCTTTTTCTTCAAAATTATTTGTCCTAGTCATCTCATCTGGGTGAAAAAGAAGAAATTGATAAAAAAAATGATTGCATAGAAACTAATGTTTGGAAAGACTGGTGCAAATTTCTTCATTTTAAGTGTACTTCCTCACAACTAACCTGTATATGGATTTTCTTGAACAATATTTCTTCTCTTTGATGACTTGCCATTGTGGTCTTTTCTTCTTCATTTATTGTTTAAGGTATCCATGAGCTCATGTAAATGGGCAAGAGTATGCACTCCTGCTCTTACAATTTAATTTCCAATTCTTTGATTATATTTTCTGTTAATTCTATTTTAATTTCATTCCTCTCTTGCTGATTTTTCTTCTATGTGGCAGACTTTTTTTCACTTCACCCTTCAAGAATCCCAAACCCACCATTGAAGAACCATTTGATTACACTGTCATTTCTATTTGCTATTTTACTTCCCCTGCCCATGAGACGGGGCAGGCAGTGTGCTGTGCTGGATATCAGTACAGTGCACCTCAGGTACACTGAAACCATTTGACTTCACCTTATGTTGTTTTCTTTCTCTTAGCAATGAGCCAGGACAGGAATTTGGCTAGATTTTGCCCCATTTGTGAAGCTCTGTGCAGCTAAGTGCTTCCAGAATATCTGATGGTACTGTTATAGTGTTCAGCAGCTGCTGAAAGTGTGAGATATGAAGTAGATTATCTAACACCCAAATACTGGCTTGTCTGAGACTTTAGATAAGGATATGATTTAAATGTATGTATCCAATCTGTAAAAAGTGGTGGCACTGCAAAAAATGAAATTGTAGGTTGTGTTGTAGGTAAATTCTATGGTGTAATCACTTCAGAAGAGTTTGAAGTGCGGTTTCCTATACTTGCTTCTGTATTCCTATTTTCCTGCTCCTTACTATTTCTTATATAAATTGGGATTAACTTTTCTATGCCTCATTGCTTACCCTAGTCATTTCCTGAATTTCAAAAATGTCATTGAACACGTCTTTGTTAAAAATAATAATAAGCTATTAACTTAGCTTATTCAACATGCTCAAGTCAAAAGATATGTACAATCATTAAATGGCAGTGAATGAATGGATTTTGTAAGGAGGCAGCTTGTTCATTGGAATTTATGGAGCTCTACAGAATAAGCCAAGTTTGAAGAAAAAATATATACTTAATGTCTTTGAAGTTGTAAAATCTGAAGGGCTTTTTGATGAATGTGGAGGATGATTTTCTCTGCTCTGTTTACAGCTCAGACCATTAGGACAAAGATTGACTGTAAATGTTAACATGAAATTTTCTGACCCTGGCCTCTAATTCTGCTTTGGAAGGAGGTGGGGAAGAGAGAGAGGTGAAGAAATTTTAGCACTAATTCTACATTTGATTTAAATGCTGATTTATTTAATCTTACTTAACTCTGTTTCTGTAAAAATCCTGCCTTGCAATGACTGTGAATTTTCCCAATATTTATAACACATTATAGAAAACTAGTGGCCAGATTCTGGTCAGAATGTGTCCCACACGTTATTAGGTTCCTCTCAGCCCTGATGGACAACATAATAGCAGTGACTGGGAAGCATCTATATCCCTGCATACTGTTTCCCGCACCAGAGGAGTGGCTTGAAAAGAAACTAATTTTGTCTACTGCCAGAAGAGCATTGGTTAAACCAGGAAATGAGTCAGGACGTTCAGAGAACCAGCTGAGCTTCTAGGTGTGGTGGAAGATTTTCCTTTTTGTCACTGAGCAGCATTCCTTCCAGCTGTAGCCTCACATGCACCAGGGCCGATGCTCTCCACCTCAGAGAACACAGTGGTGGAAGTGCTGTGCTCCATGCATAATTTTGTGTTTTGCTTATAGAAATGGAAAATGTGATGATGGTTTATTTTGCTGAATTTGGACATAGGCATGCAGGATGCCAACTTGTGAGACATCTGTAGGACTTCAGTGTAGCCTAATGATCATACACTGGAATGACTGCTGCTTCCAAGTAGTTCAATGGCATTTAACCAGTTAAAGAGTTGTGAAACTATGTGCTTTCATTCTTAGAATACAAGTCTTTACAGAAAGAGTAATGCTTAGGTTAACACTCTTCTTGGATATTTATGAGATCTTGCTGAAGTCTTAGAGGCCATCACATTTAAATGCATTTGCAACACTGGGTATTGAATGAGTGAAGAAAAGTGTGGTATATGCAAAGGGATATTTAATCCTCCTCGTTTCTCCAGATTACTCCTCTGTGCAGAAAAAAAAAAAAACCAAACAACCACAACAACAACAACAAAACAGCCATTTTGCCAAGTCAACTGCCCCTTTTCTTTTTGCCTAACTGAACTGTTTCTTTTGTCATTGGGGATTTAGGAAAACATTTCTGTGGTTTCACTGAACTTCCCTGGGAACATTTTCAGGTTAAAGTGAATACAGCTGCTTTGTCTGAATACTTTTAATTTTTCATGCTTACAAATTTAATAACTATTAATTATAAATATCTAGGTGAGTGGAATAACTTTATTGGGGATGCAGGTTCTTTCATTAGACAAGGTTTTGTTCTTCATATGACTGCAATAATAACTACATTTACTAAAGACATAAGTCAAGAGATTGTTAAAAGTGAGTCCATGTAAATATTAAGCTCTCTGCTCTTTGCTTTATAAAGTACAGTGTTTATTGTGGCAATACTTCATTCTTTGCTTTTCTGGTTTTAGGAACGTTTAATGTTTTAGCAATATTGTATACTCAAAATACTTCAAGAAGGTACAATTATTTAAAAAGCAGTATTCGACTACAAGTCAGGCAAATTAAAATATCAGTTATTATGTCTCAACAGATTTTACCTGATTAGTGGTGGAGTTCCTTTCATTATATGTGGGATTACAGCAGCAACCAATATCAATAATTATGGAATTGAAGGCAATGCACCATAGTAAGTACAACCTATTATAAAATTTTAAGGAAAACATATTCTTTTTCTTATGCAATTAAATGTAACTGGCTTCATAAAGGATACAGATATGCCATTTGGGATGACATTTGTTATGAAATTTTATTAAATAATAGCTATGAAAGAGCAATGTCTTAATCTGGGTCTTGCTGCTTCGTCTACCAATTTGACTCCATTACTGTCAATAGAATCACTTTTCATTTACAGAATTACTCTTCATTTACATCTGAATAAGTGAAAGGATATGAAAAATCTCTATTGGTTAGCATATTTAATGGAGCTACTAATTAATTAAATACTTTCAATTCATTATCTACCTTGAATTGATCTACCTGAGTCATCCTTCAGGTGACTTAGTTAAAGCAATTTACAAATAATTATGTGAGAAAAGGACAAGTTAAAATCCTTCCCCCACCTCCTCCACCCCCATCCCTCCCTTAAAAACCAATTATTTTGGATTTTCAGCACCTGGAAATGTTCCAGTCACAGTGTATTGCAATCCTGACACAGCCCTCTCATGTAGTAGTGTGTTAGTGTTCAGTATACCTCCACAAGGCACCACATTGTTATTAATTCTTGGCATGAAACCTGAGATATCAATAAAGTACAAAAAGTCTTTCCATAAAAGTGTAGCAGAAAGTGAATCAGACTGCAAAATTAAATACATTCTGTGTAAAAGATCAGCATGGCAATGACTGGCACGCTAATGGATATATTAGTACTCTGCCAGCATTAGTACTCTGGGGGGCATCACTCTTAGTTACTGCTTTGAGCACCTACTGTAATACATTTGAAACTAGTTATGTTCTGGGTAAGAAAAGTGGAAGCAAAGGAGAATGGTTTGTAAGTGAGCATTTGGCTCCTTAAAGGTGTTTTTATAGGTAATTGAAATTTAAACTCTGGTAATAAATTAGTACATACCATGGCTGTTTGCTCTGCCTAGGGCCGAACTCATTCATATGTTTATTCAAACTTATCCAATTAGACAATCACTTATAATCAACAGTACATTAAAAGACTTTTAATATATTAAAATTATTTATGTTCATAAATGTGAGACATTTTTCATTTTGGCACAGTTACAGAGGTTATACTTCTTTAATCATGTTAATCATAGCCAATCAATACCTGGTACCACAGTCTATACAGAAGACAAGGCACAGGTGAGGAATGGTTATAAGACTGAGTAAAAACACAGCTTCTAATTCAACAGTAGCATAGTGAGTTATCTGCCTTATTCATTTTTAATAGTATTAGTATAGTAAATGCACAAACTTGAACTTTTTTTTTTTTTTACGGAACTGATTTTTTTAAATGATGCACAATGAGATTCCACTTGAAATAAGAGCACCCCAAGGGACTGTTCCACTGGGGAGCATTCCGTTCTCCACTTTGCATGAAATATGCAGCATTCAAATGTACTTCAAGTATTCATGTAGCTTTGTGCTCTCTGCTTATCCAATTAAATATAGGTGGTAACTTACCTGTCTTTTCACAAATATCTTTCAGGGAATCTTTTCATGTGCATGTCTGACAGCAAAATATATACTCCTTGGAGTGTCTCTAAGTTCATTAAAAAAATGTGTGCATGTTTTCATTTAAGGTTCGGATCTTAAAAATTTAAAGTAGTTATTCTGCAGTTTCTTGTGATAAATACCCAGCGGGACTGCCTGTTTTTAGCTGAGAGGTTCTCAGCCTGGGAGAAGAATTCATTCTATCCTTTTTATATTAAGTTGTGGATGATTCCTGGCTTGACAAGAATGTGATATCAGAAGGTTCCTTGCTGTATTGGAAGGACTGCAACCAATCACACACGCCTAAATGAGTATGAAGTGTCACACAGTGTCACATTTAGAGGTGGAATGGATCATGACAGATCACCTGATCTGTCTTTCCGACCCAGTGGGAAATTAGCTATATCCAAACCATTCCTGACAGTTGTTTATCTGAGGTGCTTTAAATGGTCCAAGAATGGATAGACCACACTTTATTCCAACAGCTTATTATCCTAATTGTCCTAACAGCTAGGAAACTTTTTGAAAAATCTAATAAAATTTTCTTGCTGCAGTTTAAGCCCATTACTTCTTGTCCCAGTCCAACAGATAAGGAAAGTAACTTATGCCTCTTTCCAGCAATCCATGCAATGTTTAGACTATGAGAACCTAATAACAGCTGTACTAGTTTATACCACCAGCCCAGTTCCCTGTCTGTAACCGTGGCTAAAAGTAGATCATAGAGAAGAGTGAAAACTAGGGAAATATTCCTTCTCCCCCTGACCCAAGTTCTCCCAGTTTCCATCTGGGATTTCATTAGCCAGAAGTGTTTTCTTACCGCATGTTTATTTGATTAGATCATTAATCCTCAGGACAGTCCTGTTAGACTGCTACTAAATTATGCAGCTGACTGAGGCATATTCAGCTCATACTGGCCTGTGAACTACTTTAAGCTACTCTAAAATGGTTATGGTTATATTATTTAAAGCCTAGCAAATAATGATCCATGCTTCCAGTATAATTTCCTTAATTTTTCTGAGGACATTGAAATTGCTGTAAATTAACTCCCAGGAATTTCAGAAACAGTGCAGAATTCAGAGGTGGCATATATTTTTTTTTTTTGGTCCGCTCACTGCAGAAAGCAGTGAGTGTTCAACTGGAAGTCTTTTTTTGGCCTCCTTATCACTCAGACTGTTCTCTACTTAGGCAACCATAAAATTCTGTAAGAACAATCCTCAGGCTTAAGAGTTTATATCAATGTTCATTGATACAAACCATTGAAATCTGTACATTTCTATTGCTCACACAGATTGTATAAACTATGCCTCATTTGCTTTTTAATCAAAGTATTAGCACTGACATTTTTAATAGAAAAAAAGGGTTGACATAAATGGTCTTATACTTCACTGCAATTCTAGATTTTAAACTGACCTACATTTCTTGGAAATTTTCAGCTTTAATATCCTGTAAATTATACAAGACATTTTACTCTATTAAAAATATGAAAGTGATGCCTCAGCTTCATTGATATTAAAGACACACTCCCTTTCTCCACAACAAAAATTTCCAAACTTCTGAGACACTGTTGGGTCATGTAAGTTAGAAAGCTCAGTTTCACATCAGTCAGTTGTTCATCGCATCTAATGTGGGCTATAAAATGTTCTTGACTTGCTTTTTTTGTTGTTTTCAGTTGCTGGATGGCATGGGAGCCTAGTCTCGGTGCTTTTTATGGGCCAGTAGCATTCATTGTGCTAGTCACTTGTGTTTACTTTCTCTGCACATACGTGCAACTGAAGCGCCATCCTGAACGCAAGTATGAGTTGAAGGAAAAGACAGAAGATCCGCAGAGAATGCCAAGTACTGAGGTGGGCCATGGTCATATTACAGACTCTGTGTCCGTTCCCCAGGCAACCTGCTCCATGATTTCTTCTTCCTTATTGGAAAATGAGCATTCATTTAAGGCTCAGCTTCGAGCCGCAGCATTCACTCTGTTCCTGTTTACTGCCACTTGGACCTTCGGAGCACTTGCAGTATCTCAAGGTCATTTCTTGGATATGATATTTAGCTGTCTTTACGGAGCCTTCTGTGTGACCTTGGGTCTTTTCATCCTGATCCATCACTGTGCAAAGCGAGATGATGTTTGGCATTGCTGGTGGTCCTGTTGCCCATCTAGAAGAAACACCTATTCAGTCCAAGTTAATGTGCGCCCAAAGGTTAATGTGAATGGTGACACTCAAGTTCATGCACCTTGTCTTCAGGAATCACCATGTCCCAACAAATCAGCTGTGTTTAATCATCCAGCGGCTAGCCACTGCAAACTTACTAACCTACAAGCAGTTCAAAATCACGTTAACTGCCTTTCGCCTGTGACACCATGTTGTGCAAAAATGCACTGTGATCAGCTGCTTGATGATGAAGCTCACATTCATGTCCACAACGAGGGAACCTTCAGACCCAATATGCACATTCATAGATGTCTGAAAAGCAGAACTAAGCCACGTTATTTCAGTCGGCATAGGTCTGCAGGTGAAAGAGAATATGCCTATCATATTCCTTCAAGTATTGACGGCAGCATCCACAGCTCGCATACAGAGAGCCCCCACAGTACGCATGATAGCCAGTCAGGTCACAGGCGGGCCTGCTGCTCAAAAAGCGATCCATATCCTACTGTCAACCAGCCCGAAAGTAGCGACGCAAGTACTGTAATATATAGTTGTGCTAAAATGCCAGAAAGTGACACTGTGCACCATCCAGCTCATTTTGAAATGCACCCACGGACACAGTCATTGCCATTCAATACGACGAATCACAACGGAATTCTCAAGGGAAACGTGCATGAAGCCATGATATACAGCTCAGATAGTACAGGAAATATCAAAACTGGCCCTTGGAAAAATGAAACTACTGTGTAGTTCATGGGCCGTCATAATGTGGTTTTTCCCCTAAACCATTGTTATCTTTGCTTTTATTCCAAACTAAATGAGATGACATATTTGTGTAGCTCATCAGTAAATTGTACAGCTTTTCCATCTTTATTTCAATTTTCTTAATAAGAGTCTAAAAGAGAGAGATAATGACAGTTTTAAAGTGAAGTTATTTTTAAAAGAAAGTTATAAAATTATTCTGAAAGATAATTAGAAAAGAACTCTAGACGATTGAATATGAGAGGCAATATCCTTTTGTTACGCAGAACAATTTTTCTTTAGAAATACATCATTTTCATTCATTGTTTTCACTTTTGTTCTGTAGTAACTTCAGACACTTTTTATACACATATCAGCATCTTAAACTTTTACTTATTTATTTTTGTAGCAAAATATTATTACTGTGCCATGGATTTTAATCAGAAGTGACTATGGTAGAAATGATAAACAGGATTTTATAAAATTACAGCTTTTTAGATCTACAAAAGTGATACTGCCTCTAAAGATCTTCTGTAGCATATGGCCTGTAAAGTCGTGTAATGTACAGTCTCTGTTCTGTTGTTTTTCTTGTTGGAGAGAAGTGCTAGGTAATGTCTCTGTTACATCTATGGTGCTGTATTGGTTGTATTTTGCATGACATATGTCAGGATATACCATTTGCTGTTTTCTAGTGTTACATGTGTTAAAAAAAGAACAAAAAAAAAGTGTTGTACAAGGCTGTGAAAAACCCTGTTGATATTAATCTAGAGCATTATAAATCTACAGAAAAAAAATCACTCTGCACTAGTTTAAGTGGCACAATCCTTTGTATAAGGTTATATGATAGCTTTGATAAGGGTCCACTCTAATGTCTTTACAGAGCATGCACTACTCATTGTATGTGACACTGTGCGGTGTAATAGCAATTGTCTCAAAAAGTTTTACACTTCTTTGTAAAGTATGCCTTTTGAACAAATCTGTAAGCTGTTTCACGATAACCTTTCCACATCTGTTAAGGTAGAGCAGTTTTATCATTAACTCTTTGAGGACTACAGTTATGTTCTTAAAGTAGCTTATTCTAGTTCAGAGACACTGTATATATGATATTGTCTATTTAGTTACATGATCAATGTAGTCCAGGGTTGTCAGGAAAGAGAAAGTTCAGTCATTTTCCAAAACCACACCTTCTTAGAGTCCATCTATTAATTTCTCCACTTGCTTTCTGAAAACCCATTTCCTCCCCTAGCAAATTTCAGATTGTCTTCATCCTTTAATGCAAATTTGACCTTCAGAGAAGTTCTTTATGTTCACGATTTCTGCTGAATTGTAGGGCATTCCAGGGTCAGCACCATTCTCTATTAACAAGGCTCTTGGCAAGAAATTTTTTCATGTTTCCATGAACATCTGGACACAAAGCATCAACTCACAGTACAGAACTGCATCATAATTACCCTATATGAAATAAAACCGCTTTTTTCAAATAGGACGGGTGCAGAAGAATAGTGGATCACAGAAAGTGAATAGGAGCATAGAGCTGTGAGAAAACTGTCTACAGTGGAAAGTGAGCGGTGCATCCATAAATAAGAGAAAAAGCACAATTCTGTACGGCCACGTGAGAAAGTGTGCTGTCATGTCTTAACACAGGCTTATGTAATTGCTACATTGCAGAGAGCAAATAGAAAATTTCCTTGAGATCATCAGTCTGCGATTCTCTGTGTATATGTTGCAGAAATCTTCACATACTTCAGCCCACTGTTTTTCTGTTATTAGGAGTTTATTAGTCTCTACCTTTTTTGTTTGTTTGTTTTAATATATGGGAATGCATTTCCTAATAGTGTACATAAAGATGACAATTATAATTGTTAGAATGTTATAAAAACATGTAAGTCAGATGAATGTGTTCTGCAGTGTTGCAGGTGGGAATTACTACTCAAAGGGTTAATGCTCAGTATCTGAGTGCAAGAAATCTTGTTTTTCTGTATTTTTGTAAATTTGAAATATATATTGTAAACTCCAGCAGTGCAATGTATCCATCTCAGATTGTGTATTTTTAAAAGGTGAGCGAGAAGAATGCACTAGGTGGTTGTCAAGTTTTAAGCCAATATACAACAGTTTCATCACTGCTTCTTTAGCTAATACAAAACAAAAAAGAAATGCCTGAGCTTTATTATGTATATGCTGTATATGCTTGAACTGTCTCTAAACTAAAATACAGCATTTTTCTTTGTTTGCATAATGAAATATTTTCTGTTTAATAATTATTTTCTTTTAATATTACTTTTACTCATTCCACATAGACAGTGAGCCCTAAGCAAGCATAGACATAATGTGAAATACCACTTCTCTGTGTCTCAGCACTATGTATATGTATATTCTGTAATAGCAAAATCCTAGGAGGTCTGTAGAATATTATGCAAAATATTCCACACACACGACCAAGTGAAATACTCACTCTGCAAGAACCCACTCGGTGAGCTTCTTTATTCAGCTTGTGTTTTAATCACCTCTGCTATTTTGACTGAGAGGCCAGTTCCACCTTCATAATGGCTTACAAAGAAGTAAATAGGTGCTGCTTTCCACAGAATATCTTATGTGATAAACCTCTCTGGAATTTAAGCGTAAAATATTAAAACACTTTTCTTATTGTGTTAAAAAATTAATTTAGTGAATATTTCTGGGCTAATTTGGAAGAGATGTGTTATGCAATAATCTGCATATTATTTTTTCAGAAAATATACAGTATAACTACAGAGTAGGAGAACATGATATTAAATAAATATTAAAATGTTTTGTAACATCAAATTTGACCAAAATACTTTTTGTGCTTTTGACTTTTTTTTTTTCCTTAAGATAAATGAGATAATTTCAACGCTTTGGGAGTCTGTCTTTGTTTTATAGTGGGGTTTTGGTCAATTATAGTCAGTGAACCATTACTACTTTACCTGATTTTCTTTCCTATAAAAATAAAGTCAATGAAATAACTGGAGTATAAGAGATATATTGTCCTAGTAAATTCCTCATGGACATACACATGTAACATGTTTCAAAGTCAGCATTAGTTTTGGTGATTCATTGCTGACATAAAAATGACTGAATAGATTTTTACTGTTCACTTTCTGTCTGAGATTAAGCAAGAGAAATTTCATCCAAAAAGATAATTTTGGGAGAATGATGCAATCAACAGAAATCTGAAGGGTTGTCATTACAGTACTACCAAGATAAAAATATGCTCTGATGCTGTAGTGTTCTTCTCTGCATATAGAAATTCCACTTTTCATGACCAAATTTCAGCTCATGTAAGTGACTCCATTTTAAGTCACATAGACCGTTTACAAGAACTCCTACCCAGCCTCACATAAAGAGCTTTGGTGTAAAAATAAAGCATATGTTTTTGCACATTATGCCTGATCATATGTGTTGTTCCCAAGAAGTCTGTTGGTTGTGCCTGCGCTAATATGACTGAGCAGTCACTGTCAGTGGCCATAAACACATGCTGTCTTTCACCACACAGCTGCCTGCCAGCTACCCCATGGGCACCCTGTCCAGATGTTAAACCGCCGAGGGAGCCTTCGCTGCGGCTGTAAAGCATTCTCGCTGTCTAGATCAACAGCAAAGTCTCCGCTTAAAGCAAAATCAAGGCCACCTTTGATAGACAACACAGGCAGTTGAACAGCCTGTGCTCAAACACTAAGGGCTGAAGGCAGATAAAACTAATGGAGGTGGCTTTAAGCCTCCTGCTTCTCCTCCCTCCAGCTCTCTGCCAAAACTACCTGCCTAGTAGGTCTGCTGCCTGTCAGTTTACCTAAAATTCCTGGTTAGCTGAAATGAGAGTTTCAGGTTCATCATGTGTGGGGACATGGGTATAAACATCCTGGGCAACCTGAAGATCTGAAATTGCTCTTGAGCAAACACTGTTAAGGCTTACAAAGCTGAACGTAACTCCACAAATTTGGAGTTAGCTCCCTCTGTAAATTTTATGTCTTTTACAATGAAGAGGTTGTCTGAGAGAGGAGGCTTGTCCATTTGGCTATTTGGGAAAAAGCAAGCTGTCATTGGGATCAGGCTGGTAACCTTTTTAACATAGAATCTGCTTTGCATGGAAACAGAAAAAAGGAAGGTGAATATGGTTCTCTGTAAAGGAGACCACCTGTACTCTCACCCAGTTTTTGTTGCCTATGACAAGAAATGTTGGGCTGATTAAGACATTAGCAGTTCAGCAGCTTCCTTACCAGAACATAAGTTCAAGTTCCTGTACCAGCATCCACCAGTTCAGAAAGGAGCTGCAGGAGGCAGCTGGATCAATCAGGATTCATCAGCTGAGTTTAACGGCTGGCTGACTTCAAGCAATTTCAGTAGTAAGTTGGTGCTCTAGGTGGCTCTTGCTTAGTTAGTCCTACAAGGAAGGGAGCTTTTGGTTTGGTTGTTTTCTTTTGCTGTGCCCAGTTGGCCATTTTTTAATTAGCAATTGAATTGCTAAGAAGAAAACTTATTCTACATGTTACCTTGAATATATAAACCACAGATTTTTGCTCACTGTTACTAGGTCTGTGAAGGTGTAAGCGAATGCTTGTTCCCTTATCCTACCAGTCTACTACCTGAGTTTTTCAGGAGCCAAACAAGCAAGCAACAGTGAATTTAGGACAGTATTATAGGGCTTACTTCTCTGCAAGGAAGGTTGAAGTTCAGTTTGCAACCTCTAGAGCAGTTCAACCTCAGACAAATATCCTGCCTTAAGGTTGTGCAGCTGGCCATGCCTGAGAGGTAAGGGTTTTTTGTAAGTGTGGTGTCTGTATACCCCACAGGTACTACTGTCTTTTTACATTTTAATCTGCTTGAATTTTGTAGTGCCTTGCAGTCTGAACAACAAAATGACTGACTGTTCCCATCAGCCTGTCACTCTACTCCAGCTGTTCCCCTTAACTTGCAGTGTACTCTCGATTGTCCAGCATAGTCAGTGTTTTCATTTACTCCTTTATTTGTTTCCCAGGTACTCAATAACATCAGAGGAA